TGAAGCTTCTGGGTCTGGTTATATTTCTATCGATCGTGATTAAACAAAGCTATTGGAATCTAGGAGTAGATGCGTTTCCGAGAGATGGGTTCGTGAGGACGAAAGGTGTTCAGTTTACTCTCAATGGTTATCCTTACTACGCTAATGGCTTCAATGCCTATTGGCTCATGTACGTAGCCTCTGATCCATCCCAAAGGCCTAAGATCTCCGCAGCTTTCCAAGAAGCTTCTCGCCATGGCTTGACCGTGGTTCGAACCTGGGCTTTTAGCGACGGCGGTTACAGGCCTCTTCAGTATTCCCCTGGCTCTTACAATGAAGATATGTTTCAGGTAACGCCATTAGAGCGACTGTGTGAGTGTGATTCTTCAATTTATTGTCGGTTCTTTGTGTGTTAATGTACTCTCGAGATGTGGAAGAATTGATGAATAATGGGTTTAGATCGGAAAGTGAATATACTGTTTGGAAAAGTTGGTGGCTTTTAGATCACAAACCAGTTCGAATTGTCTTGCTTGGGTTTTTATTTAATGTTTGGGGATTTTGTGGCCATGATTGAGACTCTCTGTTGTTTGATGTGTTCTCTAAAGATCTGATTTTTTTTGTTCTAACTTTTTTCTTATCTTTTTCCGGTGAAAAAGGGTTTGGATTTTGCGATAGCTGAAGCAAGAAGGCATGGTATAAAGATAATACTCAGCTTTGCTAATAACTACGAGAGCTTTGGAGGGAAGAAGGCATATGTTGATTGGGCTAGAAGCCGAGGCCGTCCTGTTTCTTCTGAAGACGATTTCTTCACAGATTCTCTTGTTAAAGAGTTCTACAAGAACCATATCAAGGTTTCGAATCAAAACCTTCATTCAACACAAAGTGAAAAAAGTTATTGCTTTTTTGACAAACCTTTTGACTTCTCTTGCAGGCTGTGCTGAACAGATTCAATACCTTCACCAAAGTTCATTACAAAGATGACTCAACCATTATGGCTTGGGAGCTCATGAACGAGCCTCGTTGTCCTTCAGATCCAACCGGACGAACCATTCAGGTTTCACCTGAACACATTTTCACACCATGGCTCTGTTACGTGTGTAGTCTTCTGACTTGTTGGTTTTTTTTTCTATTAATTGATCACAGGCTTGGATTACTGAAATGGCTGCTCATGTGAAATCACTAGACAGAAACCATTTGCTTGAAGCTGGTCTCGAAGGTTTCTATGGTCAGTCTTCACCTCAAAGCAAGACTCTGAACCCACCTGGCCAGTTTGGTACCGATTTCATAGCCAATAACCGTGTCCCCGGCATTGATTTTGTCACGGCTCACTCTTACCCCGATGAATGGTAATGCCCTTTAACTTCTTCATTTCATCAAATAGAAATTGCCATGTATATCTTTGGCCCAATCAGTTTAGAAAAGAAAAGAAAAGAATCACTTGTTTAACTTTGACTTGCATCATTTGGGAATTTTAAAAGTTCCAAGCTTTGATTGTCTTTTGCAGGTTTATAGACTTGAGCGAGCAATCCCAAATGGATTTCTTGAACAAATGGCTCGACGCACACATCCAAGACGCTCAAAACGTTCTTCACAAACCCATAATCTTAGCAGAGTTTGGCAAATCAATGAAGAAACCAGGCTTTACTCCTGCACAGAGAGACATGGTTTTCAACACCGTGTACAGCAAGATTTACGGGTCTGCGAAACGAGGAGGCGCAGCAGCAGGAGGATTGTTCTGGCAACTTCTTGGCAATGGAATGGATAATTTTCAAGATGGGTATGGGATTATACTTAGCCAAAGCTCCTCGACGGTTAATGTCATTGCTCAGCAGTCGCGGAAGCTGACTTTGATTCGGAAAATCTTCGCAAGGATGATCAATGTGGAGAAATGGAAGAGAGCCAGAGAGAGAGGTCATGGACCAGTAAGAAGAAGAAGTCACAAAATTGAAAACTGAAACCTTTTACTTTTACATTTTAGCCTATTTTCTAGAGATGAGTTTCGTCCAAGAAAGTTCTAGTGATTTAGATTTAATATTTTATAGTTTTTTCGATCGTAATCAACTTTATTAGTCGAAGAAAGCCCCAAAAAAAACTTTATCAGGCGTTTACATTCAAACATAGCCGACAAATTAGTGCTTGTGGGCTTCGAAACAAAAGGCCTAAAACTGGAAACGTTATACAATTTAGCCGATGAAGATTTGCCTCAGATAAAGACGACGTGCCGTTTTCGTAAAATAGATTCGAACTGTGTGGCAGGCAGGGGTCACTTCCGTCGTCTGGTCAATGCTTCTTCTTCTTCTCCAGGTTTCTCCGAGTGAATTTAAAACATGATTTTGAGTGTGAGAAATGGCGGGAGAGTCCGACGGTTTTGTACAGCTTCGGTTTCGTTGGTTGAGAAACCAGTCGAGAAGTTTGTGCAAGAAGGCCTTATCTCGAATCAATCTTCTCAACTTCGAGACCTTATCAATTCCGGGAATTTGCGAGTTGCTCGCCAAGTGTTTGATAAAATGCCGCAAAGAGATATTGTTTCTTGGACAGCCATCATTAAAGGATACGTAACTGCAATGAACTCTGAAGAAGCACTGAGTTTGTTCTCCGCAATGCGTGTTGTTGATCCTGGTGTCTCAGTCGATACCTCTGTTCTAAGTGTTACGTTCAAGGCTTGTGGTCAGAGTTCCAACATTGCATATGGAAAATCTCTACATGCGTATGCGGAGAAAAGTTCGCTGCTGAGCTCTGTCTTCGTGGGAAGTGCTTTATTGGATATGTACAAGAGAAATGGAAAGATCGATGAGAGTTGTAGAGTTTTTAGTGAAATGCCTTTTAGAAATACTGTAACATGGACAACAATCATAACGGGGTTGGTTCATGCTAATCGTCACAAGGAAGGGCTGATGTACTTTTCCAAGATGTCCAGATTGAATGGACTGTCTGATGATTTTGCATTTCCTATTGCCTTGAAGGCTTGTGCCGGTTTGCGTCAAGTTAAATACGGAAAGGAGATTCATACTCATGTGGTAGTGAGAGGCTTTGGTGCCATTCTCTGGGTGGCTAACTCGCTCTTTACAATGTACACCGAATGTGGGGAAATGCAAGAGGGGCTGCGTTTGTTTGAAAGTATGAGTGAGAGGGATGTGGGTTCGTGGACAAGTCTTATCACAGCTTATAGTCGAATAGGTCAAGAGGAAAACGCGGTAAAAACATTCTTACGGATGAGAAGAAATACTGAAGTACTTCCTAATGAACAAACTTTTGCATCGATGTTTTCTGCGTGCGCGAGTCTTTCTAGACTTGTGTGGGGCGAGCAGTTCCACGGTAATGTATTCTCTCTAGGACTAGGAGATTCTTTATCCGTGAGTAACTCGATGATGAAGATGTATTCATCATGTGGAAAGTTAGACTCTGCTTCTGTTTTGTTTCGAGGAATGAGATGCAGAGACATTATTTCATGGACCACTCTTATCGGAGGGTACTCTCAAGCCGGTCTTGGAGAAGAAAGTTTTGAGTATTTCTCATGGATGAGACGAGCAGGGGAAAAACCTATAGATTTTGCTCTTCCTAGTTTGCTGAGTGTTTCAGGAAGCATGGCAGTTCTTGAGCAAGGCAGGCAAGTTCATGCACTTGCACTTTATCTTGGTTTAGACCAGAACCCCACGATCCGTAGTTCTCTGATTAATATGTACTCGAAATGTGGAAGTATCATAGAGGCCTCAAAGGTATTTGAAGAAACAGATAGAGCTGATATTGTTTCTCTGACAGCTATGATCAATGGATATGCTGAACATGGAAAGTGCAAAGAAGCTATTGATCTGTTTGAGAAGAGTCTAAAGGTTGGTTTAAGACCCGATTCTGTAACTTTCATCAGCATTCTCAATGCCTGCTCTCATTCGGGACAGCTTGGCCTCGGTTTTCACTATTTCAACTTGATGCAAGAGATGTATAAAATGAGACCTGCCAAGGAACACTACGGTTGCATGGTTGATCTTCTATGTAGAGCAGGACGGCTAAGTGATGCAGAGAAGATGATCAACGAAATGCCATGGAAGAAGGATGATGTAGTCTGGACCACACTTCTCAAAGCGTGCAAGGACAAAGGGGACATTGAACGTGGAAGCAGGGCGGCCGAGAGGATTCTAGAGCTGGATCCTACTTCTGATACTGCACTTGTAACACTTGCCAATACATATTCAAGCATGGGGAAATGGAAAGAGGCTGCAATTGTAAGGAAGAATATGAATTCGAAAGGCGTGATCAAAGAACCCGGATGGTCATCAATCTTGATCAAGGATGGGGTTTCAGCGTTTGTATCTGGCGATCGTCGCCATCCACAAAGTGAAGATATATACAGTATCTTGGAATTATTAGTATCTGTTCCAGAAGCTCGTACAATTCGATTGTGGAATAAAGAGAGCTTTTGGGTTTATTCAAATTTGTGATCCTTAGCTCTAACATGTTCCAGACGACCTTGGCCCTCAGTACAATAACACAAATGGTAATGTTGGTTGTTATATAGCTCAAACAATATGAATGAGATGGGAATCAAAGGAATCCTTTATAAACCGTTTTAATCATCTTTCTTGTTATCTGTCATCTTTAAACCAGTTAAGTAGCACATATACTGCAAAACCTAGAGCAGATGCAGCAGCAACCATAAAGACGGCTACTTGTACTGAGAATGATGAGGCAAAAGCTTCAAGAACAAGTGAGTTCCAAGTTATGTACCATAAGGTGGAGAAAGCAGCACCCAAGATTGCACCTACCACCACTTGACTGGTCGTGTGAAGCTTCTGGGAAACCCTTAACCATGTCTACATACAAGAAACATCAGATATCGTGTAAGTTTAATGATTTTGCGTATACATTTCTACTCTAATTTTGAACTTGTTCATGCCAGATATGATGACTTACAAAGTAAGAACCCAGTGCAAGGATGATGCCGCTAAGGAACAGAGAGATTTCATTGGTTCCAAGCCACTCCATAACTGAGTAAATAAGAAGAGTGAATTCATCTACGAGTTGATCAAATGCAAGAAACAGAGATCGAAAAAGCTTAGCATTTTGACTGCTTACCGGACAAGACAGTAAACACAGTGATGAAAGAAATGGATTGGGCGTGAGAAGAAGGCATCCCAGGATCAGAACGCAAAGTAGCAACCGGTCTCTCTTGGTTAAGTATGCGTTTCAGAGCTACCGAAAGCGCAGAATTTGAAACCGATCCAATCACAGCCCACAAAGCAGCACCGTCATGTCGTAGAAGCAGAACGGATCCAAACAGAGCAGCTACAACCCATTTGCTCTGCCATTTGACAAAAAATTTAAACAAAATATTTAGGAAGTAACCAAATTTCATTGAAATTGCATTGTATTTCGAGAGAGCATTACATCAAACAGTTTGTGTGCATCAGAGAATTCGAATACCAACCAGACGATTAGCGACGGCTTCGATCCCACCGGTGTCGGAGACCAAATCGTTCTGGAGCTCCGACGAAGTATTGATGAAAGCGTCTGGCTCTAGCGTCTGAAATCGTTCTTCACCGTCGTTATTGTTACCGTCACTCCAAGCATGGGTTCTGGCTGAATCGGCCATAGTTTTTCGACCAGAGCCAGACCAGATTCTCCTCCGATTCAAAGGGACGTAGTTTGAGGTCGAACTAAGAAATCGAGCGGAATTTTTGAAAGCGGGAACAGAGGAAGGATCAAAACAGAAATTGCAGGTGGGTTTGTGGAAGAGAAGGAGAGATGAAGCTGCCATATCCAAAGAAAAAGTCAACCTAAAAGTCAAACCAAACGAATCGCATAATTATGATCCCATTTTGAAACCTATAAAGATCAAATAGAGGAAGGATGAACCGATTACTTTGCTATGTTTCAAAAATCTGTTGACGATCTTCTGTTATATTTTAAAAGTTGTGGTTAGATAGATTGACTTTTTAGGATCTGTATATATATTTTTACTTTCATTTTTCCTAAATTGAAGGATTCTTATGGTCAAATGTTATAAAAATTAGGGCTACTTAGCTAGATAACAAAAAGAGATGGGATTTCCTTGCAAAACAATAGCTAAAATTTTTGTTATTTTTCTAATTATCCTTCATGTTTTTTGCTATCAACCCCAATTTCTCTAAAAATCAATCAATGTAGTGTATGGTTGAGAAAAATAAAGGCATTTACACGACGAAGATGAATAATTCTCTTCTACAAACGTGTTTTATGATTCAATCCATTTTCTCACACACGTGGCAAATCTTCTGTAAGTCTTTGTTATTGAACGGCCCATAAAAGCCCATGTTAATAGACTTGTTAAATTATTTATGGGTCTAATAGTTTTAAATTGGCCCATTAAGAAAGAGCTCATGAATCAGACTACCCCTCTCTGTTTCTTCTACTTTTCTTAAGGTTATGGGAAGGAATTTGTGCTCTTTTGATTAACCAATGGATATATATAGGGGAAAATAATATAAGTTAAAGATTAAAAAAATGAAATGGAATAATGTTAATATGTGGAATTGTTGGAAACTCGAATATGATCGAAATAATGCATTAACGGTGCGGAAGCCGTGTACACGTCGTTTATGCTTCAGAATATTATAAATGTCTCTTCGTATTAGAACATTGTTGCTTATTTTGGTATTTTCTTGACATACATGGATAAATAAATTTTATTTGGTATATTATATGAAAAGTTCATGTATATTGGAGGTCGAATATGCTTTGCAAAGAGGTGAAAATAAAGATAGAACAAAGAAATTGACCAATTAAACTACTATACGTATACTTGAAAATATATTCTTGTTTATCCTTTATAGTTTTTATATATTTTAGGCTGATGTGTAAATAGATTCGATCTCGCGCATAAGATGGTTTAGGTATTTGTTGCACTCACGTAAATATATCTATTAGTTCTCTTATTCAAAAACAATAATTACTTTCGATTAATAGCTTTTGGTTGTCTTTTTTTTTTTTTTTAAATTGCTTTTGGTTGTGGATACAAAATAATACTCGTATTATATAATTATAAAAGCAACGAATATCTTGGACAACAAAAAATCCATAGGTTTCTTAAAGTTAGAGGACATGGTTTCACTCTACAAGAATGTTCTCTTCTCTTTGTAATCACTTTTTGTTTCCTTTCATAATTTTTAAAATTATGGATCCTACGTTAAAATTTCGACAGAGATTTGCATGTATTTTATTTGCAACAAGTACTCATGCATTTATGTCATCAATAATGATTCCAATAACAAATCAGTTTGGTAGATAGTTTCAGAAAATGAAATTTAAAAAAGGATAATAAAAGCACTAAAATTGAATGCACGAGGTCATAAACTGAAGTGAAGTTAGGTTGGAGTGTGTTTTGCAACACGCCAGAGCGTCTTGTCATTGGAGGCGAAAACTGTGTGTCGTTTATAAATATATTTATATTTGAAGATGTGAGGATGCGTCTATATCGCTCTGTCAAACTCAAACTTGAAAGACTCAAAGTACAGTGTTGTGGCAGACATTGAATCAAGAAGACTTGAAACCAAATTATATATGAAAGAAAAAATGAAAAGAAAAACAAAAATTTGAAAGTGAAAAGGGGTAATACGGTGTCGTGTCGCACCAAATAGTCCTGAAATTCATGATGATTTTATCACTGACAAAGGTACGTATAGTATATGGCTTGGTCAAAGTTTTTGAATCAAGACCCCAACAAGGAAACAATCTTCAGCCCTACTTCCTGTACTCCTCTCCTCCTATGATATATACAACACTTTTACCAATTTATTACAGATAAGTAAATAGTTATAAAATTTATACGTACAAATCTACGCGTGCGTGCAAGTGTGCGTCTGAGTATATAAGAATGATGCTTGGGAATGGTATTACATGCGCATAATTTAAAAGAGAAGCAACGGAAA